TGTGTGTGTGTGTGTGTGTGTGTGTGTGTGTGTGTGTGTGTGTATGTACACGTGTGTATAGGTGACCCTAGAGGCCAGAGTAGGACATTAGATCTCATAGAGTTGCAAGCAGTTGTGAATCTCCTAAATGGAGTATTGGTCATTGAACTCTAGCCCTAGGAGCAACAAGCCATCTTAAACATTGACCTGTCTCTCTAGCCCCCTATTTTTAATTGTTTTGAGAAACCCTTCACAATCTGCAGATTGGTAAATTGTCATCTGTAGCATGAATCTTAAAAGGTCTTATTCATAAGAACAAACCTGGAGCCAGGTATTGGGATGAACGCTGGAAGATCAGAGAAGCAGAACAAACCACAGCTACCTCACCTCGCCAGTTCCTCAGCTGATCCTGTTTCCTTAGACTGGAAGTTTCTGTGTCCTCATCCAAATGGCTCTCAGCTGAACTGTGCTGCTCAAAGCCTAAAAGTGTAACCAGCTAAAAGCTTTTAGTTTCTGGTCCTCACACCTCATATACCTTTTTGCTATCTGCCATCACTCCCTGGGATTAAAGGCATGAGTCACCATGCTTGGCTGTATCCTTGTGGCCTTGAACTCACAGAGATCCAGATAGATTTCTGCCACTGGAATGCTAGGATTAAAGGCGTGTGCTACCATTGCCTAATCTCTATGTTTAATATTGTGGCTGTTCTGTCTCTGACCCCAGATAAGTTTATTAGAGTGCACAATATTTTGGGGAACACAATACCACCACAGTCATGGGCGGTTTGAGTTTACGGAAAACTGACTCTTGGAGCAGTGTTGCCCCTCGCATCAGTTCCCTCCTCCCAGCATATTTCTTTCAAAGTGCCCTCCAAGGCCCTTTGTCCAGGAATGGGCTGCCCATCACACTAACCCTGTTACAGGGAGGGAGAAGACTGGCAAAACAGACCAAGGGTGAAACAGTACATCCTTGAGAATACCTGGAAAGTGAATCATCTCCAACCAAAGTTAGTATTGCTTGTCCCATGGTATAAGAATGTCTGCGGTGATGATGGGAAACCGGAAGTTCAGAAGTCAGGCACAGAAATCTGTTTGTTTGTTTGTTTTTGAGACAGGGTTCCTCGGTGTAGCCCTGGCTGTCCTGGAACTCACAGAGATCCACCTGCCCCTACCTCCTGGGTGCTGGAATTAAGGTGTGCACCACCACCACATGGAAATCTTAACCATGGAGAGAACGTTCAGATGGGAACTCCCACTGTATCTGAACTTCCCTAGTCAGTTCTGCTGCAGGTTTGTTAATCAAAAGCCTCTGAACTGATGATGTCATCTTTGCTCTCTCCGTCCTGATTCCGTGATGTTTCTCTTATCTACTTCTTCTCTATACCTGCTACTTGCTATTGATACTTTAACTTTTGCTTGCTATATACTTAGAAAGTTCTTTCATTTGAAACAGAAAGTACAGCTGTCATAGACCATTCTCCTGACCAGAGAGGGTATCCCCATACTGGTTTCCATAGTGGCTGAACCATTTTACTCTCCTACCTGCACAAGCTTCTCTTGATAAGATTGGTTTGCACAGTAGGCTGTCGGTGCCGCCCAGAGTGCAAAGTTATCCTCTCATAGGAGTGAGTTGCTCCCTAGTAAAGAGGTTCACTTGTACCCCATATACCAGCCTTTCCCTGCTCAGTCTAATTATCACTTGATTGTCTGTGATGTCCCAGTTAACAGACACAATATTGTTTGCCAGTAATGAATGGAGGAGGGACCTTTCCTATCTCCAATACGTATGCAGAGAAAGAAAGAAAAGTAAGTGGGGGGCAAGGGAGGAAAGACGTAGGGTTTGTCAGCAAGTTTACAGGGCCTAGTATAAAATAAAAATGCAGGCTTCCCTGTTCAAAGATTATGAAGAATTTTAATGCAGCAACAGCAAAATATTATACTAAGAGCAGAGAGGTCCTTCTAAATGCAGGGTCCTGTGCAGGCTGTTCATCTCCCTGTGGTGTGTGTGTGTGTGTGTGTGTGTGTGTGTGTGTGTGTGTGTGTGTGTGT